AAAAAAAAAAAAAAAAAAAAAAAAAAAAAAAAAAAAAAAAAAAAAAAAAAAAAAAAAAAAAAAAAAAAAAAAAGAGATCGATCCTAAAGAAACTGCGAGGTTTGCTCGATATGCAGGAGAATAAAACCCATTTGTGTTTTCATAGTTGAACCCAAAAATGAGAGACAAAAAAAAATAGGCTATAAATAATGAATTTGATTGGCTAATAATCACGTGGATGCATTTATGGAGGGAGTTTTTATAACAGGACCAGACAATTAGCGTGCACAGAATAAAGAACGTGCATTTATCTATAAGTCCCGTCATGGACCCAGACTTATATCGTGCATTTAGAGCGGTGATGCGTTTAGAGAGAGTGCATTTAGGGGGGTCTGACTGTATGTATTTTCGGAATGTTATAACTGAAGAAACACCTAGACATATACTAGATGAAGTATTCGTTGTCACGCAGCTATTTACGTATTTGTTATACACATAAGAAAATACCATCGACCAAATAGGATATGAAGTTGTTGGTTAACGATAGAAATGCCAACACTTTAATTTAAAATCAAATGAATTAAGTTGTACGTACGTACTTTATTTTGTTATACCATACATTAATGAATTTGTACTACCAAATTCCTCTTAAGTAAGAATATACGTAGGCTGTACATACATAGGTTAATATCAATAAAAATACAAATTAATAAAGTGTGTCCTAATTGGCGATCATATATTACAGAAGAATTAAATGGTATGACAAAACTCTTCGTTATTCGAGGATGAAAGAAATTGTTATATGGCTAATTGCGGTCATTGTAGTTAATTATCACAAAAATTGGAGTTACCGTTTGTACATTTTAATATTTCAGTAATAAGGATCACACAAATATATTATATTCAAAAGGGTTATTTTTTACGAATAAAAGTTTTGAGTAAGTCAGGTTTAAAAATAACGATTCACATATGGCAAGCATTGAATGACGCAAGAAATAACGCAAGGAATGACGTAGTGAATAACTTAGTGAATGGTGAATTGAAAATAGTGCAATAAAACGGTAAATAAATCGAATCACACAAAGTTATTCGAAATGCTATTTTTTGTTTGCTTTCGAAATTTGGTGAAATGTCAGTAAATTTTATCGATAAGTTTTTTTGCTATACATTGAGACACAGAAAATTAATTTTCCGCACTAAATCTATAATTAAAATGTCTATCAAAAAACGTTTCTGATATTTCATCAAATTTCTAAGGCAAGTGAATAATAATATTTCGAATAACTGTAAAATTCGATTCACTCAGCAACAATTTAAGTTTTTATAAAAATAACTAAAATATTGACTAGTCCCAATTTATTAATGATTGTAAATTTACATATGCTCTATATATATATTAATTTTAATGTACCTATCAATAAACCATTTATTTGAAAATTGTAAAAGTTGCTCTTTCAATATACATAGTCAACAATTCATAAACACAGTTACATTTATTCTTTAAATTCATGCTAGTTTATAATAATTAATATTTTTTTCTTTTATTTCTAAGAGGATAAGTTTAAATAATGTTAGAACAAAAAGAAAAATGGTGTTATGTTTTAAATTTGTGTATGTAAAAAAAAAAACAGTTGTTACGCAATTTTTTTAAATATATCAATGATAATTAAAAGAAGGGTCATCTGAAGTAAAATTTAATCTATTGAATATATATTTCTTAAGCTCAAATTTCCTGATTAGTGGTCTGTTGAGACTTGATACTCACATGATCAACTACAGTTTAATTAAATAAATTAGGGTTGACTTAAGATTATATTTAGAGCAGGTACTATAAAATCGCTTTTCGAAAATTTTTATTAAGTTTGTCTTGTTATCTTAAATTTGGTTTTTTTTCTCTGTTTTATTTTTTTATTTTTTTTATAAGTATGTACGTACTTATTTTAGCAAGGCACAAATAAAAATCATTTGTATACATCGTTATGAAGGATTATGATCGTATGTACCACGTACAATTATAAATGTTTAAATATAATATAAATAGTGTTACAACTGGTCGAATCATTAATTAATATAAAATATGTACATGCAAAATAGAGAGCACGACTCTTTTTCGTTTCGAATAAACTAATTCTTGCCTGAACAAAAAGTCGTTCAGCATATATTTAGTATACAAGCTATGCAGGTAGCGACTATCATTTATTAAAACGTATTAAATTACAAAATGTCGGGTAAAGGAAAAGGAAAAACTCCTAATAATAGTTCGAATAATCCTTCGGTTGATGTTCCTCCAGTCTATATTCCCGATCCCAACAATCCTGCAAATTCACCCTCGACTGACAGTCAACAACCTCAAAATGACTCCCAACCAGCTGACTCCCAACCAGCGGACCCGCAACCAGCGGACTCGCAACCAGCGGACTCGCAACCAGCTGACCCACAACCAGCTGATCCACAACCATCCGGGCAACCTCAAGCGTCATCTCCCCAACAAGCATCACAAACACCTCAAACTGCAGGTCCAGTAATCACTACAACTCAAGCAGCAATGTCCCCTGCTTTATTGGCTCCAACCAAAGCCATCACCAATCACATTGCAAATGATAATGCATTAATCACTACTTCACCTAGTGCTTCCCCTACCTCTGATAATTCTTACTATGGTTCTTCAGCTGACGTATCAAGTAGTCCTTCTGGTGCAATAATCGGAATAATTATAGCCATTGTGGTTGCTATAATTGTGATATTTTTAACCGCAAAGAAATTAAGTAAATCTAGTAGAGATAGATTCAGGCAAAATGCGAATAAATTAGACGATAATGGCAGTGAATTTAATCTTGAAGATCAAAAAGAACTTAACGTTGCTAAAGATCGCCAAAGTATATGGCAAGATTATAATAGCTACAATTAAGAATATATTAAAATTTTCTATTTTCTATAATTAATATAATATATTTAATAGTTTATAATAATCATAAATGCTCTATAATAGGTGCTTGAGAAAAATAACGATCATGAACCACTTTATCTATCTCGTTTGTCAATGACTTTAACAACTAGGGGAAACGATATGTTGTATTATTATTATTATTATTTTTGAAGGGATTTTATTACTGGTAATGGTATTGTTATTGATAACAATATATATTAATTTGATCATTCTTCAAAATATTTTAAATATTTAAAATATTTAGGTCATACTTTATTTCACTTTTTGTTAGTTTTATAATATGTAATAATCATTCTAATTAAATAAAAAGTGATTTGAATTGCCTAATAATCTGATGAACCTCTTGTCATCACATACATTTCGTTTACTTTCACTCCCAACGCAAAAACAAAATTTGTAACTACTATATTTGTTAAAATTACAGTATACTAGCTTTCTACTCTAGCATTGCTTTTTTGATGGATACATACCCGTTAGAATACGATCTAATCTAGTATTTAGTCGATAATAGAACTAGAAATACGCCATGAGATAAAAAAAAGAACTTTTGTGTAAATTTTTTTGGTGATTTTTAGTAAATTAGGTTTTCCTTGTTTATTAAATGCTAGTCTTGGCATAAAAGCTTGCGTAAAATGCACAAATACTCCAATAATTTTTAATTATGTACAAAATACACAAAAATTTTATTACTAAGATTTTTATGATTATCATGATATTGTCAGAGGTAAAACCGACACCTCATAGAGCCTGCAAAATGGACGTCATTGTGGCATACTTACCTAATTAGAG